CACACACACACACACACACACACACACACACACACACACACACACACACACGCACACACACAAAACCTCTCCCGCTTCAGAGCTCGAGTCTACAGCTCAAGCCGTCTCGTCCGCACAAGGTTAAAACAAAGAAGCCTCCGGTTGCTATGGAAACCCTTTTTTTTTTGACCCGGAAAAGAAACGAGGAACGTCTTCCGGTTGCCTCGCCGCTTTCACGTGCGAAGCGTTTTGCTGCTGGGAGTGGGACGAGCGCAGCTGCAGGGATGAAGTTCGCCTACCGGGTGAGAAAACGGGGCTCTTTTGCCCACTGGGATGGTTTGGGAATTTGCAAGTTTTCTTGTGTGGGTGGGCTCCGGTTTTCCAGCTTCCAGGTTTCACAAGTGGAGCAGGTTGGATTATCGCTATCTTTGAAAAACGTCACTTGAGATGAGTCTCAGTTCGTCCCAGTTTCCTCTCATTCTATTCTTAACCAGGAGTAGACAATGTATTTTGCACTCCATGGGTTCACTTTGTTCCTGATAAATATCAGCTTTACATTTTGATAACAGTGCAGCTGGATTGCTTGCAAAGTCTCTCTTTAGAAGTCCAAAACAGCTGAGAGATTCTCTACAGCAGGGGTAGTCAACCTTGGCTCTTTTATGACTCGTGGACTTCAATTCCCAGAATTCCTGAGCCAGCTTAGCTGGCTCAGGAATTCTGGGAGTTGAAGTCCACGAGTCATAAAAGAGCCAAGGTTGACCACCCCTGCTCTACAGTTTGTTAAATTATGTTATCTAAAAGCCATTTACAAATTACGTTTGAAATCAGTGCTGCATCTAAACTGGGTAATAGAAAAGAGGGACATTTCTTTTGTAATCAGAGGAATTTATAATTGTACTTATGCTTGCTGCAAATGAAATCGGAACGTTCTTTCTATTTTTTTCCTTTCTTTTGCACTTTTTTCTTTTTTAACTTTTATTGATGTGTGCTAATTTTTATGTTTTTGTAAAACTTTAAATTAAGATTCATTAAAGATATTGATGTTATATCTTAAGATCAAGTGAAATATTTGGGGCACATAGAAATGGCACTTGATGGATAAGCAGCTGGAACAAAAATGATGGAACTTTGTTTTATGTATAACTGAAGCAAAACTATTATATGTGCAAGATGGAAAGATTTGACTTTCCACCCGTAATGGAGGAATGGATAGTGGATAGTGAAGGTGATGGAACTTACTGAGATGACTAAATTGACAGCTTTAATTAGGACATTGTCTAAATTTAATGAGTACAAACCCCCAATTGTACGAAATAGAAAAAAATGAAGTCATATGGTTTTTAAGATTAAATAAAAATAATGGAGTATAGAAAAAAATGTAAACAATACTGTAACCATAAAGTAACAAGTTATTTTATATTTATACTTATACTTGTTGTAAAACAAAATTGAAAGTCACTTCTTTATAATTCTTTTTCCTTTTGTTGATTTCTGTTGATCTCTTGATTATTGTTAGAGCATCTCCTAATAGAATTTATTTATGCATTATGTGTACTTCTCTACATTTTGGCAATGAGTTAGTTACAAATCATGCACAATTTCTAATTCCTATTCAAATTTGCATTACCCAGTTTAGATGCAGCAATGATTTCAAACGTAATTTGTAAATGGCTTTAGATAACATAATTTAACAAACTGTAGAGCAGGGGTAGTCAAGAGTTACAGTACTGTACCACTTTTTGTACTTTATTTCATTTTCTGCTTAAGTTGCATTAATGCAAGTATAATTTTATTTTCTAGTTTTCCAACTTGTTGGGTACAGTCTACCGATGTGGAAACTTGAAGTTCACTCCAGATGGAAACTCTCTGATTAGTCCAGTGGGAAACAGAATTACAGTCTTTGACCTGAAAAAGTATTCATTTATTTGATTTATATGCTGTTTGTTCAGCTCAAAGCATGATTATGATTGTTTGTCTTCCAACTTTTCCGAACAAAAACAGAGCTGGGGGTTGCTTGAACTGAGAATATGGAACATTAGCTCAATAGCTTCCACAGCAGAGGGTGGATTTGAACCTGGGTCTTTCAAGTGCCAGCCCAACATTTGAACTATTATATCTGGCTCTTGTACTGTGACTTCTAAGTGTATGCTTAGTCAATAGCCTGTTTAAAACTGCTTTTGCAATCTGTCTTTGAAGCTATTGTTTTGTGGAAGAAATTTACGAAATAAATTTGATAAGTTAGTGTTGTAGAGGATTTAGTTTTCCACTCTGTTTCAAATATATTGGATAATGTTGCTTCCTTATCTAATTTATAAATTTGGCAGAAATATATAATTAAAATTACTGTATTAACTGCCACTTTGGTTGTTTTTGATATATTATTCATCTGTTCTTCCAGTAACAAATCGGAAACTTTACCACTGGCTGCCCAATACAATGTAGCATGTATGGGACTGTCTCCAGATGGAAATCTTGCTATACTTGTTGATGAAGGTAATTGTTTAAGATGTTAAGAAAAAATTTGATCAGTAAATCCATTTACTAATGTTAGTATTATAATATTTTCATTAAAAATAATGTTTAAACTTTTTGTTTAAATAGCCAGTTGAACTGCAGATAAAATAAAATTCTTTGTGTGAGTTAATTTTTTCTAATCGAAATGAGTAGAAGTAACATGTAAACAATGTTTTTATTATTTTAATATTTGTAAAAATATTTGAAATATTTTTTTTGTTCCTTACAGAGGGATCTGCTTTACTTGTCAGTCTGATCAGTAAATCTGTTATTCATCGATTCCATTTTCAGAAACCTGTTCATAGTGTCTGCTTTTCTCCAAATGGAAAGTATGAACAACTATATCTGAGTATTTGATTTTACTATTTTGCTTTTTATAGAAATATTAATAGCAATTAACAATAAAGTAAAATAAGCTTCATGAAAGTATTACTAAGGCAAATAAGTTTGTTTAAAGAAAAATAGATATAATTGAAGATAAAATGATTTAATGGATCATTCTCAAGTCAATCTATATGTTATTTTTGAGTGTATGTACTAGTAGTTCTTGTAAATTATCAGGAATTTTATCTGCATCAGAAGCATAAATAATGTTAATGTTATTTATTTTAATTACAAAAATATTTATTAACTAAATTGGCTGTAATATGTAATATGACCTTTATTTCTTTATTTCTATAATTTATTTTCATTTTTCATTTTTGTAAAACAGAAAATTTGTGATTACTAAAGACAAAGTTGCCCTGATGTACCATGCCCCAGGGAAAAAGAGAGAATTTAATGCATTTGTTCTTGACAAAACGTATTATGGTGCTTATGATGAAACAACATGCATTGACTGGACTGATGATTCCAGGTAGGTTTTTGTCTGGTTTATGGAGACAGCCAAATACCTACTATCAATGTCAATGACTCCTAGTTTCAGTTCATGATTTGTAAACTAAAAATACACAGTTAATGTCCATCATTCCATTAATTTAAAGAAAGAAGCTGAAGCATTTTAGGAATATTTTCTTATCTATACATACAGGTAGTTCTTGACTTACAACCATTTGTTTAACAATACTTCAAAGTTATGACGGCCTTGGAAAAAGTGTTTTACAACTTGCCCTTAAAGTTACAACTGTTGCACCACTCCAGAAGTCACGTGATTGCAATTTGGGCACGTAGCAATTGGCACACGTTTATGTCCATTTGCAGCATTCTGTGATCATGTAATCACAATTTGCAACCTTTCCAGCTGGTTTCCGACAAGTAACATCAATTGGGAAGCTGGATTTGCTTAATGATCATGTGATTCACTTAATGACTGCAATAAAAATGGTTATAACTTCGGGATTGTTCACATAATGACTGACTTGACGACCAAAATTCCTGTCCCTATTGTAAGTTGTAAGTCGAGGATTATCTGTACATAATAAATTTGTTCATTTCTTCATCTGTTTTCCAAATTAAAGTTTTTGCAGTATTCCAAACATAAAAATGTTTACACTTTTTCCAGTAATTCATTTTTTTATATACATAAGTGGCTGGATAGCGTAGTGCAGGGGTCTCCAACCTCTGGTCCGTGGACCGGTACCGGGCCGCAGCATGCCAGCAATTGGTCCACGCAATCAAGCAAAGCCCCATCCATGGGATGCAGGCAGCACACAAAACCACGCACTCTCCAGTCCGCCGAGAAACCTCTCTCCACGGAACCGGTCCCTGGTGCCCAAAAGGTTGGGGACCTCTGGCATAGTGGTTAAGAGCACTGCCTTGGATGTGGAAGATCAAATCCTAGCTGGTACCTACCTTAATTTGGTCAAAGACCTAACACTTCATCTGCCTACCTCAAAAATATGAGAGTGACACAAACTAGGAGAGTTGTACCAGTTTGGGCATTGCCTGGATTAACAAGGTGATGTCAGATGTAGAGGACCAGGACAATCTGTTGATATGTGGGCTACTGGACTAAACAGGCCAGTACATGAGCACAGTTCACAAAGGTATTGGAAACAACACCAAAAGCTCAAAACACCAGTTGCTCATAGATGCAGCAGTTTCCCAAGACTCAAGGGTCTACCAGACTAGACATGATCTGAGGTGAAGACTATGCAGAGAGGCCTCAGAGACAGTCCAACAGTGGCAGGGTGTAAGATGCAGACAGGAACAACATGTACTGAATGGCACAACCAAGTAGCTGGCATTGTATACAGGAACATCTACACAGAATATGGGCTAGACCAGGGGTAGGCAACCTTGGCTCTTTTATGGCTTGTGGACTTCAACTCCCAGAATTCCTAAGTCAGACACGCTGACTCAGGAAGTCTGGGAGTTGAAGTCCACAAGTCATAAAAGAACCAAGGTTGCCTAACCCTGGGCTAGACCCTCCTAGGTCCAGATGCAAGATCTCCCACAGAAGATCATAGAGACAAGAAAGCTAAGATACTTTGGGACTTCCAGACCCACACAGAAAAGAAGGTACTAATCAACCCAGACATCGTGATAGTAGACAAGGACCAAAAGACAGCAGTGATGATAGATGTAGCGATGCCAAATATCAGCAACATCAGGAAGAAGGAGTATGAGAAACTGGAGAAATACCAGGGTCTGAAGGAAGAACTTTGCTTTAGTTGCTAAGCACATTTTACTTATGCTCTCCTCTGCTTTACAGACCTGCAAAGATGTGAAGGTCGTCAAATTTTTCATCACCCTTGTAACTGAACAGTTGTTAAATGAGGTTAACTTATGTGAACCCATCAGTATTTTTCTCAGTGCATAAAGCTATTAGGAGATAGCTATCTGGCATGAGTAATTTGTCTTATCCACAGCCATGAAATTATCATAGACATTAGAGAATAATGATGAAGTACCTTTTTTTCTTTCAGATGTTTTGCAGTGGGTAGCAAAGATATGTCAACATGGGTGTTTGGAGCTGAACGCTGGGTCAATCTGGTTTATTATGCACTCGGAGGTCATAAAGATGCAATTGTTGCCTGTTTTTTTGAAGAAAACAGCTTGGATGTATGTACCTTTCACATTTTTCTACATTATGTTAATAATGTAGTTGGTTAGTATTTATTTGATTTGGTCCCTGTGAGGTCTATATTTTTTTAGCTGTGTTTGTTTATGTGTGTGTAGTTGCAATTTTAATGCATTAGTGAGTTGGGCAATACTTTAAATATGAGGGAAGTTGATATACTGTTCTGAAAAGCCACAAACAATTAGCACTATAGATTTTGGACTTAAACAAGTAATGATTGCACATATCCAATTGTCTATTAGGGCTGTGCCGCATTTCAGATTCAAAAGCAAAAGGATGTTTTTAAGTATATAGATGAGCACATCCTGCATTTAATGTTTTCCCCCTGGATCACATTGATTTTGCAGAGAGCAGCACGGGAAGAAGTTGCAGTTGCTGAAGGAATTGCAGGCAGGTGATAGATGAGCGCACCCCAAGTGCTCCAACCACTTTTTGCCTTTGAATCTGAAGTGCTGCAGGGCCCGATTCTCTGTTATGAAGTTGTACGCACTGGTCCAAAATAAATTACATAAGAAGAAATAAAATCCAGATGTCATGCAGCCGAATATTTCAAGAAGTTTGTTTCTCTCTCATACACCACATGCTCACACTAAAATAGAGTATACATGTACATTAGAAGTAGCATTTTGTGAATTTGGAATTCCTGCACAGTTCCTTTATTCAACGGACCTTTTTGCCAGTTGATAATTATATTTTGTTATTGTAGTTGTACACCGTCAGCCGTGATGGGGCTTTGTGTGTGTGGCAGTGTGATACAGAACTAAGCGGTCTGATACCTAGAACTCCCAAAAGCCATCCCACTGACCAGGAAGAGTCAGCAAAAGACTTAGAGGAAGAGTTGATAGAAACACAAAGAGACAAAGAGATTCATGGAAAAGCCAGTGGAAATGAAAAACAACACAAGAAGAAAGTGAAATATTCATGTGCTGCCAAGTAAGTGAGTTTCTAATGAAAGAAATAAGAGGAATTTATTGAATTTCTAACTGGTTTATTACATGGTTAACTTCGACATTGGGATGCTTTTAACATGAATGCAATCATGGTGGAAGTGACTGAAACAGGTTGTTATAGTTAGCCTTCTAAACTGAAGACTTTCTATACTACTGATGAGGACCCAAGAACTCTGGTTTTGTTAAGAAATATCAAAATTGTCATTGCTGATCTCAGTGTTAACTGACAAAGAGTAAAAGAATCTAATGTTGCTGTGCCTGTAATCAGATTGTTGTTCTGCGTGGCACATAAGATGCGAGGTACAGCTCACTGAATTTCAAGAAACCTGAACCAGAAAGAATTGTTAACACAGCACTGCAATCAGTTTTTTTAAGCAGAAATCTTAAAAGTATAGGCTAAAGTTGTTTCCTTAGACTATAGTTCAGTGATGGTGAACCTTTTAGAGACTGAGTGCCCAAACTGCAACCCAAAACCCACTTACGCATTGTCGAGTGCCGGGTGGGTGTGGCCCGTTGGCTGGGTGTGGCCAATTGGGTGAGTGTGGCCAATTGGGTGGACATGGCTGCAGTGGTAACGGCAGACTGGGTGGGACTAAAAAGTTCAATCAATCAATTCCAACTTTGCAAGAACTTTTTTTCCCCCGCGAGAAGTTGAAATTGACTGATTGATTGAACCTTTTTTTTTTTTTTTTGCACATGGCGGTGGAGGCCTAAAGCGGAAAGGTTTTATAAAACCCAGCTGAAGGCCCAGGACTGGGGCGACGATTTGCGTGCCCACAGAGAGGGCTCTGAGTGCCGCCTCTGGCACCCGTGCCATAGGTTCGCCACCACTGCTATAGTTGTTTAAGACAAACAATTGCTTTTGCATTACGTAACATCCTCCCACACCCCGGTGTTTTGGATTTCAACTGCAAACATTACTGGGAAGGATGGCAAAGAATGAAAAGTCTATTAATTGACTATCCTCTGGCAATATGGAAAAGTGCATGCCATTATATTATGAATTCTCTCCAGTCATTTAGGCAAAGATATACTGGGAGCAGTAATGAAAGCTTGCTATGCTGCAGGTGCTTGTAGTTTAGTCAACTAATAGTTGAATAAAATAGTCTAAAATCTTAATCAAATATGCCACCCACTAAAGTGATGGATATGAGGGAAAAAAGACAATATGCACTTACATTTAAATTTAGTAAAGGTCATTATAGCTGTAACAGACAGACTGCTAAAATTTAAGACAGCAAATACTTGAAGCTTTTTGGCTCATCATTTTAACTTAGACTCATGATTATTGTTCAATCTTTAGTGACATGTGACAAATATTAACATACTGTTAATGTTATTTTCTTGCTTTTCTTGATATGCTAACATAAAAACAGCATTTTATTACCAACCATTACTGCTTCCTTTCCTATTTATTAAACTACTCTTTTGAAAGGTAATTGGATGATTTGTTCTTACATAAAAATGTATCTGATATTTTTTTTTATTCTTTATATGTTCAGATACTTTTTTAATAAAGAAGGAGATTTTAACACCCTAACAGCTGCAGCTTATCACAAGAAAATCCATCTGTTGGTCACTGGATTTGCTTCTGGAATTTTTCACCTTCACGAACTTCCAGAATTCAATCTCATCCATTCTTTAAGGTTAATATTAATATTAATATCAAAGATTGAGGATATGTACAATATTAAAGAAATCTGTTTTGTTTAAAGACACCTTTTATTTAGTGGGAAGAGAACTTGAAATAATATATTTAATTTTATATACAGAGAGAGACAGAGAGATGATTTTGATCTATTTAATTTTTTCTTTGTTTTGTTCAGCATTTCAGACCAGAGAATTGCATCTATTTCCATCAACAGTACTGGTGACTGGATTGCCTTTGGATGTGCAGGTTCATAACTAAGATATTCTAAGGAATTTGGGGGGAGGAGGAGCTGTTTATGTAGTATTGTTAAAATAATGTTTTGATGTGTACATAAATACCTATATACATATTCAGGATGCCATGTTCTTTTAGTATAAAGCCATGTATACAGAGCAGAGAAAGTAGTAAGAGAAAGAAATTAAGGCATAATATAAGAAAGAAAAGGAAAGGAAATGTAGCTAATTTACTGTAAGTTTATAACAAAATTGTAATTCTCCATGCCTTTCTGTCCTTGCAAATGGTTTTTGTATACTTGATGTCTCTCCACTGCTTCAAACATTCCCTTTTGTTTTTTAAGCCTTTCACTTCTTTTATCTGCTCTTCATCAAATACATCTTGTTCAATCTTTCTAACCCTCTTAATGAATTCCTCAATGAGGAATGATTCACAAAAATGAAGGAGCAGTGAAAATATTTGTGGTTCATTCTTCATTTGACCAAGGTTAGACTCTTTCTGGTACATTCAGAGATCTCCACTGACCACGTTTCCTTTCTGTTGTACTGACAGGTCTGGGACAGCTCTTGGTTTGGGAATGGCAAAGTGAGTCCTACGTGCTGAAACAGCAAGGCCATTTTAACAGCATGGTATCACTTGCTTACTCACCAGACGGGCAGTACTTAGTTACTGGCGGGGATGATGGAAAAGTAAGCCTGTTGATTAAAATGTTGATTTTTAAAAATAAGTCTTAGTATATAGTTTAAGGAGACCAAGAAAGGATTTGTTAACAATATTAGAAGGATAATCTATTACATTAACATTCCACAATTAAACTACCTAAAATCACAATATTGTTTTAGGTGCAGAAATTGCTTTGGAATGGATTTTTTAAAATATATATATATACATGAAATATTTGATTCGTATGAGAGGACAGTTTAAGAACCGGCAATCAGTAATGTAATTTGAATTTGCATTGAAGAAAATGGCTATTTTTTTCAACACTTATGTTACAGAGATAAACATCAAGATTATTTTTCTCCATTATTAGTTGCACTCTTTTACTAACTTTGTTAAAAATAGAATATGGAAATGATTCCCCATTGCCTTCTTTAGAGATATTTTTCAATTTTCCAGTCAAGCTTGTATCTTGTTATCCCATTCAAGTACTAGTCAGATTAACCTTGACAAATCAATAGTTGTCAAGATCTATAAGATTATCCTTGACAAACCAAAACAATCCTATTAAGGAAATCAAACAGTTATTGTACTAAATATTATTAAGTGTAGATAAGGTTAAGTAACATATAAAATAATATAGAAATAAATCTGACTCTATGACAAAAATATATCTGCATGTTAATTGTCAGAAATATTAAGTATGCAGTTTCATAATTCACCATGCATGTTAAAATTGTAATTTAGCATGTGCATATATTAAATTATTTTGGAATACTAAATCTTAAAAATATTTTTGTGGTATTTATTATTATTGCTAATTCAGTATTGGAATGATAGGGTCTAATTTTATCTTTTGAGTTACAGTTACAATTATGTTCTTACCATGAGTTGATGCATATATGCATAGCATAGAATGGTTTTTTTCAATTGTCAACATATTTAGGGTTAGAAAGTTATATGTGTTATATGTTTGTTTAATCCTGCTGGGGTCTACAAGAGTGAGTCTGCTTTTTTAAAAGATAAATATTTGGTTGGAGGAGAGTTGCATGACATCTGATTTGTTATTTGGCTTGAGTTATATATGAAAAAGGTAAGATAAAAATGAACGGCAGATGAAACTTATGGGCATACCAGCTTTTGAAGAGATGATTCTATATTTTTTGTTGAAAATAATGACTGGTTAACCTCCCTGCCAGGGTAATTATTAAGGTAGTGAATTGGAATATTCTTTCAAAAGTAAACTCTTCAAGTCAAATCATTAATCAATTACTGAAAGGGTTTAATTTATGTCAAGATGATTTAGAGCTTTTTGTTCCATTTCAGGTAAAAGTATGGAATACCAGCAGTGGCTTCTGCTTTGTCACCTTTACTGAGCATACCAGCATCATATCTGCCGTAACATTTACCAGTTCAGGATATGTTGTTTTGAGTGCTTCTTTTGACGGAACTGTGCGGGCGTTTGATCTTCACAGGTAAGCTTATTATTTTACTTGCTTACTTTTAATTTTGTTCCATCTTGGGGTAGACATCAGAAAATTAGTGTATTCTTTATTAAAGTCTGAAGGTGCAATTTTCCATTAAATCAGTTGCACTGTATTCTCTTCTGCAGTTGTGTCAATTAATTTAATTGTATTAGTTAATCTAATTTGGAAGCCTCCCCTATAAAAATCATGCTCCATGATAGAAGAAGACTAGGTTGTTGTAGAAACATAATGAAAATCCTAGTCAAATAGTAGTTTACGTAATTATTTTCTGTTTTCCAGCATTTAGGGGTTTTTAACTAAAAATTGGTTTGATACATTATTCTTGCCTTTTGCAATAGATACCGCAATTTCCGTACTTTCACTTCCCCGCGACCAACGCAGTTTTCCTGCTTAGCTGTGGACTCCAGTGGAGAAATTGTTTCAGCTGGTTCCCAGGATTCTTTTGAAGTATTTGTGTGGTCTCTGCAGAGTGGACGACTTTTAGATGTAAGACACAGACACTTTTTATGGTGCTTGCAGTAATCCATTTTGAAAAAAATGTTATTCTTACCAGTGTTGCCCTTAAAAATGAGATCCTATATTGGTACAAGTTTAAGTGATTATTAAAATCAAACATTGAATTCCTATGAATTTTAAAGCAGATAATTTATGTGAAAAAAAATAATACCAGATACAGTAAAAGAATTCCCGATTTGGCAACCATTTTCCACAGTTATTAAGCAAACCATCATGGTCTTTAAATGAATCACACAGTTGTTAAGTGAATCACGTCATAGTTAAGCAAATTGGGCTTCCCTCATTGACTTTGCTTGTCAGAAGCCTCCTAGGAAAGTTATAAATCATCATCCAATGACTGCAGGACATTGCAACTGTCAGTTGCCAAGCACCCAAATCGTGATCACATGACCGCAGGGGTGATGCAATGGTTGTAAGGATTGGACTGGGCTCTTCAGTAGCGCATAGATCAAATAAATCACAATTTCCTTTTTTTTTAAATTATATTTTTTTTACTTATTTCCACAGTTAAAATACAAAATCAAAGAAAAAGGAACAAAACAAAGGCAACAAAAGAAAAAAGTGCATAAAATAAAATACAAACATACGCATAAAATGTCCCTCTTGGTTGAATACTGCTAAATATATTTCAAGATTTTTATTATTATTATTATTTCTCATTGTTACATACTTTTTTTTCATTAGGTATTAGATGGCCATGAAGGACCTATCAGTAGTCTGTGTTTTAACCCAGTGAAGTGTGTTCTGGCAAGTGCCTCTTGGGATAAGACAGTCAGATTGTGGGACATGCTGGATAGCTGGAGAACCAAAGAAACACTGGCATTAAGTTCCGATGGTAAGTCTGTTGGAATGTCATAACTGACATACCTTGTTTGGGTGACGTTTGCAATAATTATGGGGTTCCCTAGTGTAGTGAAGCCAATCACATGGAGACCTCCAGAGCACTGGTACTGCAACAAAAGCTTCCATGAGATACAATTTTTATTAATGAGTCTGAATTGAGCTTTACTGTTTTTTTTAATTATTATTTAATACGCTTTAGAAGTTGCTTAATTCTAAATAACTGTGGTTGGCGTATATTTAAAAATGTAAAAACAATGTAAAGCAAGAAACAGTGTTTAAGCACCCAGAAAGCAAAGTCTGAATAATGATAAAATATCATATAGGGAACCCAACCACCACTCTGTCCCAACACCTGTGAGAACAGCCATGTTTTCACTACCTTTCTGAATATCATCTGGGTGATATAATAATAATAAAGTTGGAAGGGACCTTGGAGGTCATCTAATTCAACCCCCTGCTCAGGCAGGATAGCTGTACAGACGTCCAATTAATCAGATGAGAAATTATATTGACTATGTTAAAGCTTCCAGTGTTGCACATAGGTTTCAGTATAAGAAATGGGACCATTCCTTATAAAATGTGGAATCTCTATGCTTGTGGAAATTTAAAATATAACAAGTGGTCTCTGATAATTCTTTGAGGGATGAAAAGTAATGCAATCAAAATGCATGGAATGGAACGAATCTTAAATGAAGCTTGCCTTTGATTTCACTCGTGATCTTTGCTGCAGTGCTTGCTGTTGCTTTTCGTCCGGATGGCAGTGAGCTTGTTGTAGCTTCCTTGGATGGACAAATCACTTTCTGGGATCATGAAAATGCAATGCAAACAGGATCGATTATGGGGCGACATGACCTTCAGATGGGGAGGAAGGAACTGGACAAAATAACTGCCAAACAAGCTGCTAAGGGCAAGTGGGTAGAACACTTACCATCTTTTTATCTTTTTTTTTCTGAACTGAGGGTATCTATTATAATTGGTGGAATTTTTCATCTGAATATTTGAATTTTATTACTATAGGCTTATTTTCATATTGGAGCTCAGAGATTTGCTTTGCATATGCTTTCTATGGTTTTCTTTTGAATACTTGAATCCTAAAATTATAGATATTTATTGAACTCAATTTCCAGCCAGAGTGAAAATATGAATCTATAAAATTTATGGTGGAACCCTTTGAACAGGTTTGTAGAATCATGGACTGTAAAGGTTGGAAGGAATCTTGAAGATTTAGTTCAACCTAAGCTTTATTTGGAACATAACTTTGAATGCATTTCTTAGATCTCCCAGCGCCCTTTTTATAGCTTTTTAATCGACAAAGATTATAAGAAATAAAGTGAACATTTCAGAAATGTGTTTAACTTGTTTGGATTTTACATGGGGATAATTTTTTACAAATACCTCTTTAGATTTTCAAATCTCACAAGTTTGAGTAAGATTTAAATTGAGTATATCTGCACATGTGGGTTATCACATAAAATTATGCTTGAAAAAATTCCCAACCCTATCATATAGGATTCAGACTGCAATTATTTCAAAGTAACTGCTTAGGTGGGGACTATAAATTGTGTAATACGGAGCTTGAGATACATGTCAGATTATTGATTTGAACTTCTTTTTTCAGATCTTTTACAAGTCTATGCTATTCTGCTGATGGCCAATGCATTTTGGCAGGAGGTCTGTCAAAGTATGTTTGTATTTATCATGTGAAGGAACAGATTCTCATTAAAAAGTTTGAAATATCTTGCAATCTTTCCTTAGATGCAATGGAGGTTAGTATGTGTACATTGGACATGGGATAAATCTTGCAAGTTTATGAAATAAAAGCATGGTCACTGTTGCTACTTGTCTTACCGCAGATTATTTTTAAATTAATGGTGAATGTATGCTTTGACTTGAGTAATTTAAATTTGTGTCTGTGACTTGATTGTCTGCTCTAAAGCATTCTTTATTAAGACATTTTTATTTATCAATGCTCTGTCTTTGTAATGTTATATCAATTTATCAGTCATAGACAGTTCATGGTTCTATTGAGGAATAGAAAGGATTTAGCATCCCATTGTAAGCAGAGTATTCTGAAACATATTTGGAATTTGAAATGGGCTATGTTATCGTATATTTTATTTTACAGGAGTATTTGGACCGCAGGAAGATGACTGAGTTTGGGAGCATGGCATTAATAGAAGAGGGAAATGGGGATGATGACGACGTTGTCATTCCTCTTCCAGGAGTTAAGAGAGGTATTAGTTAATTTTAAAAAAGGTTCTCTAGTTTAAACCATGTGTATTAGATTTATTTAGATTTTCCTGATGAAAAGGGTGAAGTTTTAAACAAGTCCTTTTGTTTCCTCTCACTTGACAAAATGATTAAATCTTAGTTTGGAGATCAGCCAATGTCTTTATCAAGGAATGAGAAGCATTGCCACATGTTACAGTCATTGGAAAATATTTCAACTTATTAAGTGTTTTACGGCAATATTTTTTTCATTATCTGTTACGTTTTTAGCCAATACAATGATTTAATAAGTCTTGCACTTAATAGCCATTATTGTTTTTACTGCTGCCCTTACTATGTATATGTATCGCTAATTCTCACCTCACCCCGTTTTCTACTCCCTGCATTGCCTGCATTAATTAATTTGGAATAATTCATGACAAGACAAAATTGGCTTGATCAGTAAATACTATGATCCCAATATGTTTGCTAAAGGTTTCTAAAGTTGGCAACTGACAAATGTAAATGTTCCAAATGATTGCTGTGAGGGTAACAACTGTATGCATCACATAAACATTTGTACTGGTTAATGTGTTGAACAAGGACAGTCATTTACTTCCCAGGGTGGGGGTGGTGGCTGGGGTGGAGGATGGAGGAAACGCCCTGTCCAACAATTTGACTTTGATGGGATATACCTTTTTTTTAAGAAAAGAAATGTAAATGTATCTGTGTGGTTCTTTCTCTTGCCGCACACTTCTTTTGTAGAAAGAATCAGTTTACTGTCAGCACTGGTTTGTACAAGGAAATTATTGAGGTTTTTTTTCTTTTCAGGTGATATGAGTTCTCGGCATTTTAAACCAGAAATAAGAGTGACGTGTCTCCGCTTCTCTCCTACTGGTGGGTTTTTGGAGGATTACTTGAAAAATGTTCTTCATTTCTTTGTCTGTCCACCTGCCCTCCCACATCTCCATAATTTTAGCTAATGTCACAGTGCTTCTCTTTCAGGAAGAAATTGGGCAGCAACCACTACAGAAGGTCTTCTTATCTACTCGTTGGACTCTAGTCTCACCTTTGATCCATTTGACTTAGAAATTGACATCACCCCTGGCAATATTCGTAAAGTATTGCACCAAAAGGAGTTCACTAAGGCTATTGTCATGGCTTTTCGACTAAATGAGAAGAAAATGATTCAAGAGGTTCTAGAAACTGTGCCCTATGATGAAAGTAAGCTGGACCACTATTACTGGCCTAATGTGATGGTTGCAGAAAACAAGATTCCCTAAGTTTCTAAGTTGTTAGCAAAACTTGATGTGTGTGTGTGTGTATACTAAAGAGAAGGAAAAAAGATAATATCCCCAATAATTTGAATGTTTTAAGTGAGTAGAAGTTCTCTAATTATTAAATATCACACAACAAAGGGGAAATTGAAAAAAGGAATTATGTCATGCAGTATAGCATTTCCTTGCCTTCAGTTTTCTTTGCTAAAAATGCAGACATTTTCCTTCTGCGCAAGTCATGACAAGTGGACTGTTTTGACATGTTTACTCATTGTCAACTAATACATCCTCTTGTTTGTTGTAAAAAAACAGTTGATGTAGTCTGCTCATCGCTTCCAGACTTGTACATAGAAAAGGTCCTAGAATTTTTAGCATCTTGCTTTGAGAAATCTCGTCACTTGGAATTCTATCTCATATGGACTCAGAAGTTGCTCATGCTGCATGGATGCAAGTTAAAAACAAGGTTAGTGAACTCAGCTTAATATGGTTCAAAGAGAGAGAATACATATTATCAGTTGATAACTTTAAAAGTAGATTTATATCTACCCTCAGAAGGCCAGTAGTTAGAATGTCAGTGAAAGTCCATTCTTTTTTCATTGGCTTATGGTGATTTGACTGAAGACTGGAACACAAGAGAAGCAGCAGATATGCTTCCAACTACCATATCCAAGAAAAGTTGCAACATATATACTGTATGTCTATATATCTGTTGCAACTAGTAGCTTTTTTATTGGTAAGATACTTTTTCAAGCTGATTGATGCTTTGAAAATTAAATATAAATTAGCATTTGGGCTTTTATATTTAGCATTTCTAGGACTTATTTCTAGGGTTGTGTAAAGGCTTGAAAAAAATGTGCATTGGCACCAAGAAGCTACTGCATTCTTTGACATTTTTGTGGCTTTGACATTTTTGCTGTGTTTGTATGTGTGTGTATGGCATAGTTTCACTACTCTGAAATCTATATGCAGGTAAAAAAAGAAATATTGCAAAGGATTTTTGTTTTAATGTTTCAAGGTTTTTATACTGATGCTTCTTTCAAACGCTTTGCACAGCCCTCATTTATAGAATGTCTGTATTTTTGACCATTTGCAGGTCAGAAAAACTGCTGCCTATTGTTCAGTTTCTTCAGAAGAGCATTCAGAAACATTTTGAAGATCTTTCTAAACTGTAAGTATTTGGTTTGATTCTGTTTTACGTAATTGGGAAGAAATAAAAAAACAGCACCATAAGATTATTTTATTTTTTAAAAAATGTGTTTTCCTTTTTCCCATTACTTATGTCAGGTTGTAATCTGGGTAAGTGCCAGCTCTGTCTGATTTTTTCCTTTGGGCCTTTAATCATCCTTTGTTCTCGGTAGCCCAAAATTACTATATTGAACAACAGTCCATACATAAACTACACATTCTAATGGCAGCGGAAGAAGTAGAGGCTTGTCTGATTTACTCTAGTATTCGATATTAGAATACCTTGCAACTGGAAGTAACTACGTTGAAAGAAAAGTTGTATATTTGATTAGAAACTGTATGTGCAAATAACACATTGAAGCTCAAATATCATACAACGATTTCCAGATTGCTTCAGACTATTGAATGATGTGTTGAATAATTGAATGGTGTATATTCGAACCATATATATTTCACTGCCTCTGATTATTTGTTATACTGTATATGCAGGCATGTTTAGCATTGTTTTTGATTTATTTTGGTGATGGCTTTTCTTTCCGCAGTTGTGATTGGAATTGTTACAACATGAAATACATTCTATCTATTTCCCAACAACGGGGTATGAAACGCAGAGCAGAAGATTCTGAAAACAATGATTTGAAAAATTTGGAAGATTCCAGTAATGAGGATTTTATGGAAGAATCATCTGTACATTTATAGAAATATGACACTTTTTTCCATGTATAAATTTAAACAGTGGTATTCACTGAGAACTTCATAGCCCTTGAAGTGGCCTATTTTTTATAGATTATTTGAATGTGAAATAATACATCTGGGAGAAAGCAGTTTGTCTTTTGTACACTTTTTTCAGTAATTGAATAGCTAGACAGTTATGGTCACTAAATGCCAACCATGGTTTTTTTCTTGCAGTTAGACAGGCATTGTAATTCCATTGTAGACTGCATGAATCATAAGTGTTCCTACCCATGTCTGATGCTCACAGAGTTGGTGATTTACAAATTACCTAAATGACCTTTTATGTAAAATTACTTCTATACAATAAAATATGTGTATAGGGAAAGAATGGGAAGAGACACAAAGACCAAAAGAATGAACAGAATAGATTCAGATTTATACTCTTTGCAAACAAAGTTTTCTTTCTTGTAAGTTATTTTTTAGTCCACCTGCAAATCAATTTCAGTTTTATTCAACATAACTTGTTCCTTTTTATTAACACCTTCTGATTCTTTTGTAAAAGTAAATCATTGGAAGGCTTCCTGCACCCATTCATTAAAAATCTCTTTTTAAAGTAACCATCTGATGCCCTCTAGTGCCCAGTTTTCAAACATAGACATTTTCCATGAGAAAAGATCCTTTCAGTTAACTTCAAAGTCTTAAAGCAAGTCCATCTAAGCTCTTAATCGGTTTAAACAATTCTAAAACTAACATTAAGAATCTTTTTGCTGTAAATGCCACAATGTTTTCTTCTTAAAAATCTTTAAACTTGTAATTAAGCTTTTTTTAAAAGGATTGTAGAAAAACTCGCCCAATGATTTCAATAAAATTGCCAGTCTAAATGTTTTCAATCTTTAAACAACAACAAAAATAAATGTGATTAAGAGATGAGCCTGGGTCAAATTTAAAGAGTTTGCATAGATGACATTAGCAGTTATAATAAGCATGATGGAATCCCATGACTCCCAGCCAATTGTAAGCTGACTGCAAAAATACAATTCCTGCCATCTGCTCACAAAAAAAACCAGCTGTCCATAGTACATATGGTAATTTTGTGATCTCTCCTTACTCCAAAAAGATTTTAGCAGCCCAAATCTTGCATTTGAGCATTACTCTCCGTTGCAGTGTGTCCTGTTCTATTCAGTTCATCATAGTGGCTCACCAAAAGCTCTTATTTGAAATAATTGAAAGTCTGTTCAAAGTTTCAGAGGAAGGGTTTGGATTCCATATGTTATGAAATCACTGTTGTTGGTATGTAATTGTGTATGTGGGGTACCAAAAATGCTTTTTTCTGATATTATAGCCTGAATAGAAATCACAAAGAAATTCTATTGGTTTAACAGTAGAAATGCTTTAGAACTAGAGGCTAGAATAAATGAAGTTATTTGTATTTGTTGTCCTGGAATTGTACCTGGCTTATTTTTTTCCCTAGAGTTCTCCTTTGTTCAAAAAAGTAGTTTGCTACTACTAATAAAATTATAACAGAAAAATACCATTCAATACAGAATATATTTATTTGAATAATATTTGAAAATGATAAACTGGGAGATGTGACCAATCAGGCATCATCAAAAATACTTGCTTCATGAGGTGGAATAACAAACAGCATTTCCTATCTTACAATACTATATTATTTTGCTGGATAAGAAAATATCTGTATCCCTGGGAATAAAAATATAAGTCTAATCACTAAAAACAACTAATCACTAAAAACAACTACTGTATTTCTTTCTGAGACAATTACAATTTTGGTTTTAGATGCCCATGCCATTCGGATTCATCGGAGTAATTATTCCATCTCAGCTTCCTTACCTTGTTTTTCAGTACTGTATTAAGTAATAGTGAAATTAGTGCAATATGGTGGAAAGATACAGATACTATAAATCCTCAGCTGAATAGAAAAAGAATCAACTTATTTTAATGAATAGTTTTTACTGCATCAAAGTAAGAGGTGAAGGCTCTTGGATTCTGTAAAAACTTAGATTGTTCATAAAAGAAATTAGTTTTCTAAAGTCCCTTGAGGCCCTATAAAAAAATACTGTTTCTGTTCCTTAACCAATGTTAAGAAAAATGTGGCTTACTTTCTGGAAAGAGATGGCAAATATCAGAAGTTTGGTGTAGTTGTTAAGGTGATAGGTTGGAGACCTGAAGATTGTGAGTTCTAGGGCCATCTCAGGCATGAAAGCTGGCTGCATGGCTTTGGTCCAGTCACTCACTCTCACTCAGCCCAACCCACCCCCCAGGGCCACTGTTGTGGGGAACACATGAGGAAGGGGTATTAGCTATATTCACTGCCTTATTTATAAAATATAATAAAGGCAGCATAAAAATTAAAACTGGAGGGTAAAGTGCTTCACAAAATGTATACTTGATTAAATTTACACAAAATAGTTAACCAGAGTTTAGTTTAAAATAAGGTATAGTTGAACTTAAGTACATGACTTAGTAATTATATATATTTACTCCTATAACATGAACATTGGCTTAACTGCCATTTGTAAAAGCATGTTCTAATCATACTGCTTTTTCAACAATTATGTGCATAAAAATGGGAAGCTGTATCTAGATCACTACACTGATCCCTTGCTACTAATGGTACTATTTGTACAGTATTCTTTTCCTCATTCCAACGTACCTTATTTTGCAGATTTTTGGATTAAATGAAATTTTGGAATGATAAGTCATATTGCTTAATCCTAACATAACAAAATATTTTTACTGAACATTTCCATAATCGAAGTGGGAAAATAATAAAGACCCCTCCAAAGTGGCTTGAGAAAATGCTTGGGTTAGATACAGTACTTAGAGCCCATAGTTTGGCACTTGTGCGAGGCGAGCAAATAACTTACTTAAATTCGGTTTTTCTTCCTGTTCTGAAACTTTTGAACGGGCCAATACAAGACGAGACTATGATGCAGATAGCGCTTCCCTTTCAAAAAATGTCAGAAGGAAGTTGAAATTGTCGATACCAATGCAGCCCCAAACTGGTATAATCATCCACAAAAGAGGTGCATTCCTGTGTTAAAGACCTTCAACTGGGAGGACTCAAAAGCTGCAGGGATCGGCAATTCCACCAGGTTGGTTTCGCTATACAAACCACCAGAATGGATTGTATAGAATGGTTATCCGAGGGTGTTGCTTCCCTTCCCCGTCCCCCGAAAGGCACTACCGAAGAATTTGTGGGGGGTTGATCGGACAGCCGCTACGTTGCATTTTGCGGAGGCTGGACAGCGCCAAAGATCACGCTACTCCTCTCGGCAACGACATGACCTAAGTCAGTGTTTTTCAACCTTGGAAACTTTAAGATGGGTGGACTTCAACTCCCAGAATTCCCCAGCCAGCTTTGCTGGCTGGGGAATTCTGGGAGTTGAAGTCCACCCATCTTAAAGTTTCCAAGGTTGAAAAACACTGACCTAAGTCAGGGGTAGGCAACCTTGGCTCTTTTATGACTCGTGGACTTCAACTCCCAGAATTTCTGAGCCAGCCATGCTGACTCGGGAATTCTGGGAGTTGAAGTCCACGAGTCATAAAAGAGCCAAGGTTGCCTACCCCTGAGTCCTAAGTGATAACAAGACAGTGACGCGGAATAAATCCTCCGACCTCTAGGTGGAGCTGCGGCGTCCTCTTCTGAAGCTCAGCCTTTGGAAAAGCCACTCAGAAGGCTTTGGTGGCAGCGGAGCCTTCGGTTCCTCTTCGGTTCGCTTTCCTCGGAGTCGAGATGTGGGCTGCTAAATTCGCGAACCCCCGTTCGCCTCTCTTGTCCTCGGTGCTCTTGCTTTCGAAGGGGGTCCCAGCTCCCAGCTCGCCCTTTCACTCCTCGGCGCACCGTCACAGGGCTAAAGTGGCCGTGGTGAGTTCGCCTCCGGGGCTGCCAGGAGGAGGAGGAGGAGGAGGAGGAAGCGTAGCCGGGAAGGGTCCTTTTTAGAAAGCTTTGAGACGCGGGACTCCGCCGCCCCGCGCAGCCTGCGCTCCCTCGGCAGCCGCATTTCTCAGACTCCGCCAAAAGAGGCTTCCGTCCGGCGGCCAAGGCAAGCGTTTGCAGCGTTGGATCATTTTTGCAAGACTGGGAGTCTGCTAACTTTGCCACAGTTGGAGAGTCAGATGGGGGCGGGGTGTGTGTGTGTATGTGTGCGAGGCGCCAAAGATTGGTAACAAGTGAAATTCCGCACAAGTATGTTACGTGGCTGTATCTGGCCGACCTTGGCTTGACTCGGCCATTGGGGAGTCACAGGAATTAAGGAATCCTAGGATTAGTCTAGGAAATCGCACTTCTCACAAGGCAATGGGGTCAACTCATACACCGGTATGTGTGTGTGTGTATCCCTGTAATCATCCGAAGCTGAGTTGACCCCAGTGCTAACTCGATAAGTTACTTCTGAGTGCAATTTATGTGTAAGGTTATATTTAAACGCATTTGTCTCCAAGCATCTATATCAGTGATGGCGAACCTTTTAGAGACCGAGTGCCCAAACTGCAACCCAAAACCCACTTATGCATCATCCATCATCGGATGCCGGGTGGGTGCGGTGGTAACGGCAGACTGGATGGGACTAAAAAGTTCAATCAATCAATTCCAACTTTGCAAGATCTTTTTTTTTCCCTTGAGAAGTTGAAATTGACTGATTGATTGAACCTTTTTTTTTTGTACACGGCGGCGGAGGCCTAAAACGAAAAGGTTTTATAAAACCCAGCTGAAGACCTAGGATTGGGGTGACGGCACGGGTGCCCAGAGAGAGGGCTCTGAGTGCCACCTCTGGCACCCGTGCCATAGGTTCGCCACCACTGACCTATATGAACTGTCCATTTGGTATGTTAGTGACTTGCTCATAATTACCTATTGAATTTAATGGCTGAAACCTGGGTCTCTGCAATTGCAAACCAGCATTGTAAGGACGAGTGTACATTTTCATTTTAGATTATCTCTCAACTTTGTGCAGCATCTAGGGCTACAGAAAGCAGACAAAAGAAGTGAGTGAAGGGACAACATTGTTTGGATTAAAATTAAATTAAGCGCAACAGCATTCAGTGTGATTAATCAAATGGCCTTTCTAGTACATTAAAAATTATAGCTTATTTACAGCATCTGGAGGGCTGTCGTGGTCTAGGGAGGCACAGTTAGGCATTTCTGCTCCAATTTGTCTGCCTGTCTAGTCACAGTTTCTTTGATATCTTCAAGACTGATATTTAATGGAGTTAATTTTAATCTTCAAAACATTGTGCTATGTTAATGTATTATTCTTTTAAGCTATCTCTTATTTGTATTGCTACAGATTACTTGCATTACAGGCTTGGAAAGCAACTAATTGTTATCTGTTGATGCACTTTATATTTGTATATAGACATACACAGTAACACATAAAGGAGCATGTGCAGTATAACACTATACAAATCAGAAATAAGCCAATTATTCTTGATTGGACTTCTTACTAGATTGTAACTGCATCTCCGGTTCTTTATAGGAGAACAGGTCTAAGCATCCTGGGACCATCCAAGTGCATATTAGAACAGCCTAGACTAAGCATTCATTGTGCTTTCGAGCGTCTGCTATTATTGTAGAAAATTTGTGGCACAATTTCTGCTTTACTTTTTTGAGGCAGAAAGCATGCAAAAATTGTAGGTAAGTCTTACAATAGGTTTACAATGTTTAATCCCCTTTAATATTTCCCCAAGGAACAATCAAGGTCTGTTTCTGAATGCTATTTCATTTAACTGTTCTGTTTCCATAATTTTAGGGGCTCCTACTTTATCATAACAGATCAGAATGTAGATGTCAGAAATATTTAAGATTGATTAATATAGTTGTCTTATAACAAATTAATAAATTAAAGGAAATCAAATCTTGCCTGCTACTTCATTCATTGCTTCTCTATGGTATATAAACTGCTTCTGGGTATTTTTTATCCTAGGAAAATTACCATTCTTGAAATGGAGAAATTATTAAAATTATTAGAACTTTCCATACAAAACTGCAAAGTTACACCAGTATTTGAAGATCAATGAATGCTACTTCATTTAATGGAAATGACTTAAGTTAACAGCCAGGTTTGAAATGTGACGACCTAAGAATAGGTTGTCCCTGTGGGAGGATAAGACAGGATATGAGCTGGTATAATACACACAGCCAGTACTTAAACAAATGAGGGATTTTATGGTAGATGCTATGATTCTTATACTAATAAAATATTGTGATCCAGTATTATATATAAGTGGAAATATTATTTATAAACCAGTATGTGCTTATATGCACATACGGAATTTAGAAAAGACAATGTAGGACAGTGATGGCGAACCTTTTAGAGACTAAGTCCCCAAAAACCGCCCTGCCCCACCTCCGGCCCCACCTGCTCTGCCCCTGGCCTGCCCAGCCCTGCCCACCCCGCCTCACAGGGCCACCCACCGCCTCCATGGCCCACCGCAGATTGCCCAGTGGCCCTGCAGCGCCATGGCGACCACATCTTCCGCCCACGTCCTGCAGCATCATCTGCACGCGAT